AGTGTTTCTACTTTTAACACATGTGCACATCAAGATGTAATATTCTTGTTGATGATGATTTTAAATTCTCCCATGCTGCACATCTCTAATGTGGTGATGATTATAACATTTGAAACAAATTATGGTCACTAATTTGAATCATTCTTTAACACAGGGTAGAGATAGATTATTCAAAGGAAAAGTCCACTCTGTAGTAGAAACTGGTAGAAGTTGAAACTGAGCTCATTTGACGTCTCTCTGTTTAAGTCTTATCTCTCAGAGCCAGGGGTGAAATGCAGAAGGACCAGTCAGTCTCTTTCCTGTTTGTTTATTTCCAACTCTCTTGTCCTGCCTGTGCTTTGCATTTATTTTCCATCTGCTTCCTGCTCTCTAGATAGTCCGAGACAGCCTGCTTGCCAGCCAGCATTTCAGACAGAGAGACTGAAATATTGGAGAGGGCACAAGGTCCATGGGAGTCATGGAAGCAGGGAAGAAGGGAGCTCGAGCAGAAATAAACAAGGCTGTTGGTGTCACAAATTTGGCTCTAGGTGAGATGAAGAAGCAGTGTTCTTGGAAGGTAGGTAGGGCTGGGTATCCAAGCTGGAAGAAGAGGTGATGCCTTGCAGGGGGAAAGCTATTGGAGAGTCTTGTGAGTTTCATCTCAGGGAGGTTCTTTTTGGTCTTTTGTTTTACTCCTTTCCTGAGATATTTTTTATAGCATTTACAATGGACCATATTATCAAGACTATCTCTTAAGGTAGTTGCCCTCCTCATTTTGATCAGTGGTTTCTAGACCTCTGGATATAACGGCCTAATAAAGACAAAAAAGATCTGGGGAAGAGAGGAGAAAAAGTGATTGACATGTTATGGTGTATGCTCCATTTCCCCAGGATAAATGTACTTGCTTATCACAATGATATAATAACAACAAACAATAAAACAAAAAAGGGGACTTCTAGAACTGCTTTAGAAGGTGGCAAGAAGAATGAAGTATGTTCAAAGCAAAAGGCTGTATTTTTTTGGGGGGGAATTAATAGCAGTATGCCTTTCACTATAATAAATTTTTAATTTATTTTTTAAAAAAGTAAATGTATACGTTTGTGTGGAAAGAGGGGGAAAGGATCACTTTAGATTTGCCAATTTTTACTTTTGCCAAGTAAGAATATTTGAAAACAGACTATTCTCTCTTTGTCCTTTCACATGGTGTATTGATTTTTTTTTTTTTTTTTGGTACCAGGAATTGAACTTAGGACACACGCTTGCCAGGCAGGCATTTGTGCTGCTGAGCTATATCTCCGGGCCCTGTCATTTCACATGGGAAAGGCCAACATAATCCTGAGGAGCAGGAAGTAGGACATATTTCGTAAAGATTAAGTCTTGGCAACTTTAAACCCACACATATGTTTAGAAAGATGTATTCAAAATTTTTGAATGTAGACAAATGATCAAGTAAAATTCTAATTCACCCCATCGCCTTTTAGATGCTCATCAGCTGGAAGATGATGCTCTGCAGTGTAAAGGGGAGCCCAGATGTCCAGCTTTGGGAACTAAATTTAAAAATCATAGTCAATTTCCCATCACTATACTGACGCAAGTGGAAATGTTATTCCCAGTGCATTTCATTAAATTTGGAATATTCTGGGCAGTATGACACTTGCAGGTGCCTGAAGCTGTGAAATAATTTGGAGCTCCCTTTACCCTGGTAACGCCTGTCTCCACCACTGGTGTGGGTGGAGCTTCCTCGCGGGCTGGAGGTTCTAGTCCTAGAGGGGAGGAAGGACAAAGAAGGCTGGGGGCAGAACTCAGCCTTGCTTTCCAGATTTGAACAATTAAATATTGCTTCCAATCTTGAAAACCCTGCTGCATAAACACACGTCCTTTAGTTAGCAGAATCTGTTTTTCTGTAAGGACACACAGGGAGACCCAGGAGACACCTGTTGTTATTTGACCATGCTCTCAGCAGGCTGTGCAATCCCTCTCACCCCCATAAATATTGTTAGCTTTATCTCTTTTCATTTTCAGAGCTCCAGTGACAGCCAAGAAGGGAACCTAGGAAAGATGCATTGCTGACTCACTGCTTCACAGGACACAGTGCTCTGTTACCAGGAGAAGTCGAGACAACTGTCTCCTCCACCAGCTCCTCTGCTACCCCTTCAGGGTTGAGAAAGAGCAGGCAGGGGTAGACCAGGTGTCTGGCCAGGCAAGTGGCAGGTCTCGCATTGTGGCCCAAAGTGGGGAAGACATGATTTTCCCTGCAAAGAATGGATCTGAGATGAGGGTTGCTGCTTCTGTCTGCTTTAGCCCTCAACCAAGAGTTGGGAATTACTGACTTGGAGTTGCTATGTCCCCTCACATTTCATATGTTGACATCCTAACTCTGAGATCTCAGAATATGACCTTATTTGAAAGTGGTAGAAGTGAGGCCGTGCCTTTGACTTGCTTTCTGGACAAACTGTGGCCATACTGTTCATTCTCCATTTCTTCTCGGTGCTCTGCTGACATGCCTGTAAAATGCCTCTAGACCAGACGAGTGTTCTGAGAACTGGCATGAAAAATGACCACAGCACTCCCTTATTTCCCATTAGAATTCCCCTACCCCATGCAACTAGGCCAAGAGACACTTTTGATTGGGGTAACAATTAGTTACATAGAGCAGTGTGGAACATTAGGAATGGACTGTGAGAGTTCTCCTGTGAGAAGATGCTAGGCCTGGCGTGATTAACCAAAGTGAAGTTCTCAGGAGTCTTAACAAGGGAGATTAAAATGAATGGGAAGAGAAAGCCACACCCAGAGTTGCACCCTTCTCCCAGAAGGGGCTTCCTATGCATGCATTAACTGGACCTAACCCACATGCAGATCTTACAAACTTCAAAGAGCTAGGCAAATATTTGTGATTTCCTGAACATGTTCGGGAGAGGTAGCTGTGTTATTCTTCTTCTGTAGAATGGCACCTCAGGCAGGAAGGTGGTATTTTACAGCTGCAGTGTGCCGTGCTGCCAAAGTCGAGTTTTTCTGAGCCAATTATCTTATGTTCCTCATGCTTTTAATTGTTCTTCTCAGGGTTTAAGTTGGAGACACAGCAAGGCCAGAGGGGGAAGGAAGGAAGACAGAGAGTGATTGTTAGACCAAAAGGCAGGGTTTTTTTTTTAAATGTCCAGGGGTTGCTGACAACATTGCTCAGTTTCTCTCTGAGGTTAGCATCTTTAATTATTAAACACAAGCTTCATCAACATTGGGACTCCTTGGAGACAACCAGCAATTATCTCAAATTCTGTCCCCACTGCCACCCCTCCCCAACTTCAAAGGAACTCATTACCAGGCCCCAAATTCTTCACATTACTTTCCCATCATCTCAGATGATGTTTATAAATAGTTCATAATGAGAGTCTAATCTCATCTTTCAGATTACTAAGGAAGATCACAGAAGATAGACTGTGATAAAATTATTCCACGTCAAGGTGATTATCTTTGGATCAGTCTTTCCAAGATTTTATTCACTGGTTTGTTAGACTTTGAGAAGATATTTTATGTGCATATATTTATACGAATAATTTATTTAGACCCCTTCCTGACTCTTATTTGCAAATTAACATCCAAATGAGACATCTTCCCAAAATGAGCTATTTTATGTATTACAGATGAATAATTTAAAAATGCATATTAAAGCAGAATGAATGTGGTAAGCTTGTCTTTGAGGCTGCCAGTAAAATATAGTTGCCTTTATTTTCTGGCAAATCATATTTTATAGATGAAAAATTAAGATGTGCCCGAGATTTCAAACCTACAGTAATGACCTGCCAGCCCAGTTCACTAATTTGAGCAATATTTCCTCTTAGGTTTTCCTCATCGCAGCAAAAGAAGGCAAGCAAACCGAAGAGGCATGTAGAGACAAGTACAAAGTTGTCAATCAAGTCTTTTGTTTATCAGCCAGGATGTTTTTCAATAATTATTTACATGAGGGAGGGGTGTGGCTTAGTGGTATAGCATTTGCCAAGGTTCTATCCTTAGCACCAAACGAAATTATTTTACATGATTATTTCTTCAAAATTTCAACAGCAAAGTAGGGTAAATGCTAAGAATTTTCTGGAAATCATCTTCATATTGATCAAACACCTGCCTCAAGTGCCAGGCTGACCCTGCTCTGCCAAAATCTCTATTCTCTGCCTCGTGTTTCCCTCTGTCAGATGCCTACATCCTCAGAGCTCTCTCCCCTGTGGCAATGACGTATCTGTTGGCAGCTACTCTATGTCCTTCCAGGTTGCAAAGGGGGGAGAAGGACTGGGTGTAGGTGTATGTGTGGGAGAACAGGACAGAACTCCTTAAATAATTTCAATATTTATAGAGAAAGATAGCTTCTGAGTAACAATCACAATTACAGTACAAAGTGGTGGTGACCATTAGGATGTGCAGACTTGGAAAAGCAGGAAGAATAAGGAGGATCTGACACACGCTAGGGGGTCCAAGAACATTCAGCAGCATACATAGAGCAGAAGATGCTCAGCAGCATGACCCTTGCTTTATGTATAAAAAAAATGACAAGGCAGGCAGGTAGATGGAGAGATGCAACAATGAGCAGATAGGAACTGTAGCTCAACTTTCTGTATACCCTATTAGCAGAGGACCCCTGGTCATTTTCACTCGTAGTAGGTCTTCCTTTTTCTGCTTCTTTCTCTAATTTTGTATTAAAACCAGAAAAGTCAATTGGTGAGATAAGCCAAGAGAAGATATGTTTCACACAACTACAGAAGACACTTAAAGATTTAAGAAGATATTAGCTCAGCGGCAAAAGCGCCTGCCTGGCAAGCACAAGGTCGTGAGTTCGGTTCCCGGTA